AGCAACACGTGTACAACTGTGGCGAAACATGATGCAATAATCATTTATCTCGATTAATGCTTTTTATAATCGTTTGAAACCGAAATCTAAATCGGATTTTCGATTAATTGCAAAGCCCTTTATAATAGTGGACCATTTTTATGCCTTTTTCTACCTCAATACTTATCCTCTCTCGCGCCCCCCCTGTGAACTCTGGCGCCCCCCTTAGGGGGGCGCGGACCCCAGGTTGGGAAGCACGGCTGCGCTTGTATTTGTAAACATTTGACTACATTACAAACTCTGTGGATGAATCAGTATTGTGAACAACTTTGATGAAATTATGGAGGAACACTTTTGCATGTTAAGATGTACATGATGTGTGTGTGTGCTGGCGCTTAAGGGCTGCTTCACAAGCACACGTGATACGTCATGCAACTGAAGGAAGCAGAGCTCGAAGGTAAACAAACAATGGCTTACCATGAGCATCTTATCTATTATTATTTCCACAGTTGGCATTAAGAAGGAACACATAAACATTATCTTACTAACATCTAGATGCTGAATGTGTCTGGAAAAATATTGAAAGGTTTTTATTTTCATAAACCGCGTGGACATGAATGCGTCTGACTGTTTTCATTGGCTAAAGTAGACATCTCACGTCAGCACGTTCTAGACATGCACGCGCTATTTCCGGCAATCTTTCTTCTGCGTTCACACAGCGCAGCATTCCGGCAAATTACTAGTACTAGTACAATTTCTCTTTCCGGAAAATAGCCGGAATGAATTTACCGGTATTTTCAAAAAGGGCCTGTTCACACATACAGACCTTTCTGGAAAATTGCCGGTAATTTTCCGGAAAGGTCTGTATGTGTGAAAGGGGCTAATATTTTCACAAAATTATATTTTTGGAGATGGACATGTTTGTTAAACACTTCTTGGTAAATTTTCATTATTGCTGTTTGGGCATGCTTATTGATAACATTAAATAAGTGTAACTATTAAAAATAAAAACAGAGCTAAATCTTAAACAAATAATTTAATAAAAAAAAAAAAAAAAAAACAGAATTTCTGAAACAAGTAAAACTCCTTTCTTAGGACCCCAGAGATAAATATCATACATTATGTGTTTTTATGGTTACTCAGTACTGCTTGAAGTTGGGTTAATTACTTAACAAAAAAACACAGAGAAACAAAGTCCACCCCCCCTTTTCAAAATAAAAGAATATTTCACTGCTTTCTTTACTTATTAAGTGCCTTTCAGATGCATTGGTGATATTTAATCCATTAAAATATTAATATATGTCCTAGACCATTTTGATTTGAGAATTTTTTTGTGACAAAAACTACAATGCTGAAAAAAATTGTTTAAAATCAAAATAGTATCCTTTACCAAATTATTAGCCGTGTAAAGACATAAGTAAGGAATAGTTAATGGATTGCAGTACATTAAAGGCTTTTAAATGAATGACGCAGAGACAAAGAACTGCTTGAAGTAAACTCATGATGCGAAGCAGATATCCTAGTCACTTCTGAATCAATCACAGACAGACAGAGAGGATACGCATGAGCGAAATCATGTGTGGATGTAAATGACATGGGCATTAGTGTTGGGCAATATATAAAATTTTCAGATCGCCATATCGTCCCCCTGTGAGATCGCCGATACACGATACTATCGCATGAGGGCACATCAGTTTTATTTTTATATTTAACCATATCTAAACATATTTTTATAACATTTCGGCTGATTTTTAAACTTATTTAATAACCTACAGCGTTTGCATTACATTTAATCTTGGACAATAATTCAAACCAATGCAAATCACCGTGCTCTTAAAGCTAATTAGGCGCTAGGACCGAAATTACATCAAACAAGACTCGATGCTACAGTGCGGCGCGGGACAGGATTGGATGGTGACTTCAGATTCATACCGTTATCCTTGGCCCGCGGGTCTGCTCCAAAATACATATAATATACATGAATGAAAGCAAATGAAATGATATTTATGCACGGAAGAAACTGCATTAAGGTCCTTTTTAGACAGGAGGCGGATGGAGGATTTGCCGCCCACACGTGAACATGCGGTGAAGTTTTCCATGTTTTTGTTCAGTTGATCGTGGCGCAGCTCCAGGTCTAATCATCAAAAAAGTAATCATCAACAGTGTCACATTTGTATTTGCTAAGATCTAACACTATGTGCTTGACATATGTGTTTATTGTTTTCTGATAAGAGTTTCATTTTTGAGATGGCTGCGGCGAGTCAGCAATAGCCTAATGCTCTAATATTAAATAGCCTATTTGACCTAAAACATTTCACTGAGCGCAGTAAAATGTTCTTTGATAAGTTATTAATAATCTGTTCAATAATTCTTTAATGCCAAAACTAATTGTAAAACACAGACTGTAATTTAATTTCATATAAGGTAGTTAAAATAAATAAATAATATATATTTTGATAGCCTATATAAATAAATGTTGGCCTAACATATTTTCAAATAAAACAAGGTTATTTTATGAAAAGTGTGCATGTCAGTGTTTATCATTATCGAATTAAACACAAATAAGACAAGTAGTATATTGTATATTTCGTGAATTTGAGGGAGCAGCCAATGCATGCACTGAAAAAATAGGCTATAGGCCACCTGAAAACTTAAATAGGCTATTAATAACAGATATAAAAGATGAATAACTTTTTTTGTGAAAGAAAGAGAGAATCTTGCGGGATAGCGGGAACTAAAATTTTCTTTTTCAGTTGTTTTATTTTTACAAATCATTATATTTAACTTGTTTGTTAATTAAATCCAGTTTTGTTATTTAGCCTATTATTTTTAAGCAACAAAGATGCAAACTAATTTGTTATGAGATATGGCTGTGCCCTCACATGCAACTCGCACTTCAACTGCTGCTGCTGACAGAAAGAGAGAGCGCGAGAGACCAATCGAAATAATTTATTTTTGTCCGAAAGTGTTGGTCAGGTGATGTGAACAGCTGAAGCTGTCAAGTTATTTGTAGTTCATTTACTCTAAATGATGATGATTAGAAATAATAATACTGTTCATTTTATTCAATAATGCAATTAAAACATGTAATAGATCTAATGTGAAACGAGCTAAATGCTGTCTTTAAAATCGTCATAGGTTTTAGCTCTTACCTATATATTTGCCTATCGTCGATACACGATATTGTCGTCTATTGGCACAACCCTAATAAGTAAGGGTGTCACGATCCTCCAATTCCTCGATTCGATTACAATTTCGATTCTAAAGTCACGGTTCGATTCCATTTTCGATTATGAATTCATTGATAATGAATTAATTATTTGTAGCCTACCGTTTAAACTACCTGATCTGCATGGTCTTTGTTTTACCCATAAACAAATCATACAGTAAATGAATAAAGGCAAGATACACACATAATTACCACCTGTCAATCACTTTTTTCTGCGGGACTCGTGAATAGGCAGTGATCTGTGTCGTTATAATGGCGTCGGTAAAAAAAGACGCACAACCAACAGGAACCAGCCAACAGTATCTGAGGTGTGCGCTAAAATGACTAAATACAAGTGAGTGAAAGATTGAAGCAGTCCTCTGACTGCCTGGACCTGCTCTCTCAAGCGCATGGCTGTGAGTGCGTCTGTGTGTGTGTGGTCACGTGATGTGCATTTTCAGAGGTAGAGAGTAAGGAGGGCTGCTCAGAAACGCTACACGCCACTGTGGATGTCAAATCGTTGTCATTCTAAAATGCCATTTAAAAACAAAGACAGTGTAAACAGGGCCTGAGTGTGTACTTTTCGCGAGCGGATTTGCAACGGGGGCGGGCAGAGGATCGCGATGCCGGAATTGTCTATCGGACGAACTGAACGTAATAAGTACATAGCAGAGCTTGCAAAACTGTGGGGGTTTTTTTGTCGACAACACGAACGTTGTCAACATAACTCACTGGCAATCCAAAATGCTTTCACACCGGCGACTTCATTGAAAGAGGAAAGTGGTTTAAGTTCTGTCGACGGGTCTCCTGCTTCTGCAGTTTAACAAGCCTGTTTTTTTTCCCGCTTGGCAAGCCAAGCTGACGTGACATGGGGGCGTGGCAGCATCGACGATTCTATTTTTTGATTCGATAATCAAAATTGAGCATAAATTTCGATCGATTTCAATTAAAAATCGAAATCGTGACACCCCTACTAATAAGCATATCTAATAGCTCATAGTAACATGTTAGCTACCTCTTTGGAAATAGTTTTGAGCATATTTTCAAGAGACTACAGAGATAAATGAAGGCTCTTGGGTTGCTATGATTCCTACTAGGCCCACACAGAATCTATGCACACATAGATCTGCAGATTTTTGAGCCCATCGTTTAACCTATTCATTTACTTATAGAAATCTGTGTAAATATATGTATTAATTCAGCTTTTATATTTATTTCAGTAATGTTATTGAATACGATACAAATGTTTAGATAAATTATGTACAATAGAATAAAATAATAGAAATAAAATAATATTTTCTGTCTTTCAGTGGACGCATCATATGAAAGAATTATTGTAGCTTTGTTTTGGTTCTAATGAAATCATTTTATTTTGATGTTATTAATATTATTTCTTATGTGTTAGGTTTTCAGCTGCTACACTCAACATCATTCCACAGATTATTGGCAAAATTCTGTGCAGAAATAGCAAAAAAAGTCCACAGATTCCGTCTGGCCCTGGTTACTACTAATGTTTGAGCAAGGCGCATTTATTTTGAACTGTGATCAACACTGATTAGAACTACCTGTGCATTAAGCGATTTTACAGCACACCTTCCAGCCAATCAAGATCAAGAATTTCAACAGACCACAGAATAATTCAACAGTGACTCACAAACAACTGGCACCTTGTAATATCTCTCTAATATCAGCATTGAAAAGAGTAGTCTGACTGTACAAGACTGCACAACTTTCATGATCAAGACATATTTTTATATTAAATAACTGACCATCAAAAACAACAAACAAGATAATTAGAGCTAAACATGCTTACCTTGACTATTCAACTGAGCTGCGCCGTTTGACGTCTTCTGCGCTGAATCTTTCGCCTGTGTAGAATAAAAAACACCCCACACATTTCACTCACACAGAGTAACCGATTTGGTTTATGATTTACAATAAAGGCCCGACAACACACCCTGACACTCCTCAATCAGACCAAACACAGTGTGTTAAAGGGACAGTTCACCCAAACTCAAATGTACACATTATTTACTCTCCCCCAAGTGATTCCAAAAATATAAGAGTTTCTTGTCTTGTTGAACACTAAAGAAGACATTTTGAAGAATGCTGAAAACCTGCAACCATTGATTTACACAATAGGAAAAACAAATGGAAGTCAATGATTTCCAACTTTCATCAGCATTCAACAGAAGAAATTTATAATGCTATGAAACAAATAAAGGGTGAGTAAATGAATTTAAATTTTGGGGTGAACTACCTCTTAAAAGCAAATCAGACAAACTTAAAGTGAAGTTTCTGCTGGATCTCACCTTGCTCTTGCACTCGGGCAGCAGGTTCTTGCAGCTCTTGTGGACGTTCACAGCGCAGTCTGAAGGTCCAAACAGGAGACAGGTTAGTTTTCCTTATCACAAGCCATTTATCAGCACGCAGAGCGGCTCGTAAACTCAATTTACATGTGAAGGGAGGACTGGAAAAACTGGGGCGGATGTTGCAACCCTGCGAGACACCACTACGCTTTCACAACACTGCTTTAGTTTTAGAGAATATGCAAGAAATCAGAGTCAAAATCTGCAAATGAACGAGTCTAATCGGATGTAGACAAGCGCTTTTCCCCATCATGCTGGTTTTTGCTACTAAAAGAGCTGATAGACTAAACGTGTGCGCAGGTTTATCTGGGGTAAACAGCTCTTTATCCATTCAGAAAGATCTCTGCCGTGTGCCTGCGGGCCGTTTCCCACTTTTCACCTCACAAACTGACCGATTCCATCCATTTAGACTCAAACCTAAATATAAACCACAGCAAGCCGAGGCTGTGATCGATGAACCGATCAGTGGAGATCCAGAGCACAGCTGAAAACACAGAGCACTGGTGAACTTCATCCCACAGAAACAACACGACTCGCAAAATAAACCTGGCTGCTGGGCCTTTTTTTCTAAAAGAAACTCAACGAGGTTTGAAACCAGTGAAGGGGAAGTAAACGGGGACATAACTTTTGTGTTAAGCTGAACTAACTCATTAAACTTATTTGTGTTCATGTTAATTAACAATATTGAACATTATTTTTGGTAAATTAATAAACACAATGAGTGTAAAAAGTCAAAACATCTGTTTAAATAATCAGTTAACAGGAAAAAAAAAAACAAGAACAACAACAACATTAAAAAGTAATGTTTAAATAAAAATAATTGTATACAATAAATATATAAATTAGGGATGCTCCATTTGATCGGAGATCAGTACCGGCCGATAATCACATGTAATGACTCGATTGGTAATTGCCAATCTCATGAACCGATCGCAAGTGTTTGTTTATGAGTTTACGAGGAAGATGCACGTGCGCACAAGGGTTATAGAGATAGCAGCACTACTACATGTGAGGAGATAAATGATGCGTGGGGGCGTAAGCAATCGATGAGCATGCATCAAAGCCGCTAAAATATATACAGATGTGGTGCGACCTCTGTTTTTACAGTTTATTAGTGTTATTGCATTTCTAATAGCGGATTTATTTTATCTTTGCCATGATGACAGTAAATAATATTTGACTAGATATTTTTCAAGACACTTCTATACCGCTTAAAGTGACATTTTTTTCTTTCCATCAGTTTTTAACGAGGTAAGAGGGGTTATTCATAAATAAGAATTGTTTTGTAATATTTTCTTCTTTTGTTTGGCTTCACTATCGTCCCCTTACTCCAGTTGAACAAATTTTTTTTGATACTCTGTTTAAATTTGCTACTTTATTATATTATTTTTGTTAGTGTAAATATTTCTCTTTTTAGTATATATTTAGGCATTTTTCTGGTTTCACTTTTGTACATTAAATCACTTTTGTTGGAAGTTCTGTTGTCAGTCTTTTGCTTACACCCTCACATTGTGAAATTACCATAATAATCCTTATAAGTCCCCTAAGTTTCGTGAAACAGTTACGTCAGATAGGGGTGCGCTTTGTCTACGACACGAATTCCATTCCTGTACTCCACTGGAAAACTAAAATGTTCCCACACAGGCGACTTAAATGTGTCTGGGGGATCTGCAATCTCAATATATGTGAAGCAGCCATCCTGCGTATACAGTAGAAACCGAGTGATTGTCACTCAAGTCACATGACATGACATGCACTTGGAAAATACTAACTTTAGAATATACTATTTAGAACAAAAGCTCATCATTACTAATACAAGTTAATCAAATGTGATAAAATAAAGATGTTTAAATTGGTTCAATTAGTTAGAGACAAGTGACGTCAACTTCAACAATGGGCAGCAGGGGGCGTGAGAGTACCACGGTATGTCACAAGAGTATCGCAATATGTATCGTGGTTGGTGTATCATTATATATATATATATATATATATATATATATATATATATATATATATATATATATATATATAAAAAAGAGCAATATCACACGAGTAGCAGTGCGATATGGCTGTATATCGGCACTGGCGGGAGGAGTGCGTTAAATAATAATTTGTTTACATTTCCTAATATATAATATCTAAAAATACTAAATCTATTTTAATTTAACATGTAATTTATAATCAAATAACTCATTTATTTATTAGTGTACTGTGAAACATACAACATATCAAACAAAGTTAGTAGATAAAATTGCAATCTGCTCAAATAAGCCCTTAATATTTATATCCAGAAGAGCAGAAGTGGAAGTAACTAATCCATCCTCTTTAATTCTCTACACAGAAAAGCAATGAAAATAAAACCCTTCGTGATCAACACTCAGGAAAACACATTCAGCTCAGCTTTGAGATCAAACCACAGACTCTGAAGCGTCAAACCAGCTGGAAAACACAACAGGAACTGGATTTGAACCCCGCGATTAGCCTGACGAGGATCAATTGATGATAATCCTGTTATCACATCACATGATCCGCTCGCTGGAATGTGAACGTGGGGAGAGTCTGAAGGAAAATGACAAGTGATTATTCATACACTCTGAGGAAGGAATAAAACTACAACAACGCAACATCAGAAGGCAGTTTTAGAGGAGAACCCGAACACACACACACAATTGATCAACTGACAAACATAATTAGCGAAATGCGACTGACTATCCAGAAGGCCAGCATCACAGAGCCACCTGCTGAACAACACACACACATCACCAATGCTTCTGTTCTGATGCAAAACAAACACTAACCGAACCTACACTGTAAAAGTCATTTTGTGGCCTTGTAGATTTCAATAAATTGAAACTTAAATTGATAAAATTAATTTCCTGATTAAGGCTTTTTTTGCTTTGAAATTACTTAAAGATGCCTGAAATAAAATTTAGTTAGTTTTAATATAAGAATTTAGCTGTTATTTTGAAGAATTTCAAAAAGCGAAAACATTGATTAAATCCAAAGTGATTAAAATGAGCATTTTCATATTAGCACTAAACGATTTCATAATCAGGGGCAAATGCCTGCATGTTTAGCCGAGGACAGACTGCCCTCGACAAATACACGAGCTATGAGCAACTCGCAAACAACACCTAAAGCCTTCACCAGACAATGCAGAATGCCAGCATTTTGAACTTGTCATGGTCTCATCCAAACGGACTTATTGGTAAGTGTTGAAATGTCCAAGTCTGTTAATAAAATGATTGCTATATTCTGTGTATTGCATGTGAGTCACCAAGTAATTTTAGTAGTAGGTTCTTATGCCACGTTATTCATTAACAGATGGTTTTAGCACATTCGTTTTATTAATGATGAAGTGATATATTTTTTAGCTATAATTTTGAAGTGATATTTATTGCTGCTCTGTAACCAAATAATACTGTACAACACAAAATAATAATAATGAACAAACAATAGTCCATTTCTCCTTGGACTTAAAAATACGTGAAAAAAGTTTCTGACATTTAAACAAGTAATAATTTTAAACTGAAACTAAATAAAAAATAAATAAATAAATGAACAAATAAATAAATAAATAATAAATGAATGAATAAATAAACAAATAAATAAATAATAAACAAATAAATAAATAAGCAAATAAATAATAAATGAATAAATAAACAAATAATAAACAAACAAACAAACAGACTAACTAACAAAATTTGTCTAATGTAAATCTATTACAAGTATTTTCTCATATATATGTAAGTATTTGAGAACAAATGTAGTCAAAGACTGCTGAATGTCTGTCTGAAAGGCACTTTAGATCAACCATATCACAAAAATGTTTGCTATTATTATTTTGTATTTTTTCCTTTTTGGATGCGAGTAAAAATGTGTATAAAAAGCGCAAGTTTGTTGCAGCGCGCACATGTCGCTTCCAATGGAGGCGCACTGCTCGTGCTTGCATATTGGGAGCGACGTGTGCGCGCTGCAACACATACATACATTTCTACTCGCATTTATATACACATCTACTCGAATGTGCACGTGCAAAAAATGGAAAATGTGAACGGCCCTTAATTAATAGCATCAGCCATAGTTTAACCTTGTGTGTGTGTTAATCTCGGTGTACAAACTCTGAACCTTAAACTAGCGCACAGTTGGCATAACTTTGTTTAGTTGCAGCAGTTTTCTTCTATGCCGCAGTATTAAGAAGGCTTTACGATTAATTGACCTTGACAAATTAAATTGCGGTTAATAGAGAAATCGGCTATTCGTTGCATCCCTAATTATATCAATGTTTTTTAAATATATATTTTAGAAATTATAATACAAATAGGATCTCAATAGATAATTTAGTCATTGTGCCAATAAGCTGAATAACATATATTTCAGAAAACAGTTTTTTAAATGCTATTGCACATACAAATTAGGAAACAGCATTTACAAACAAATATAATTTTATATCAATTTAAATAATAATAGTAGCCAATCAACAACAGCCCGAAAATCCTAGTAACCACATAAACCACTAAGACAACCAAGCAACAACATAGCAACTATTCAGAACACCCTAGCAACCACACAAAAAAAAAACAGTTAGAACACCCTAGTAACCATTCAACAACCACCCAGAAGATCCTAAAAACTAGATAACAGTCCACGCTGGAAAACAACATTTGATTATCTAGAACATTGATTCTTAACCGGTGGGAGTCAGCGATCCTGGAGGTGGGCCACGAGATATTATACTATAATTTTTGGATTTCATTAATAATATGCTATATTAAAATCATCGAAGTAATGCACTTTCTCCTGTGCTCTGATTGATTACTTCAAACTCGGCGCAAAAACAGCCTCATGATCGCAGCTGCAACTAGTACACGCAAGTCTGTTCATTCACAAACTATGCGTGAAGTGAAAGTCTCTCTTTGTGTATTTTGTGTGAACTATTTAATATAGCTGCATAGTTGTCCAAATGAATGTCCTGTGAGTGTTTTGTAACAGACGCGCGCCCATACAGGAGGATCTAACGAGCCTCAATGGTGTTTCTACCATAGAATGTAAAATAAAACTGCATATGAGCATCAGGCGCGCTCTGGTGGAGCTGTTGGCTCCTCCTGTCTCCAAACAATATCCAGTTGCAAACTCAACCGCAATCAGATCAACGTGTTTCAACAAGTTTAAAGTGTTTTGCTGTATTTTACATCTGCCTGCATATTTTTGAAGAGTAGATATTTAATAGTAGATATTCAGCTAGTATTCAGTATTCAATATTCACAAGCTGGTATTTTGCAGTCTCCCTGTTGACCTGTGATTCTCTTTAAATCTAAAACTATATTAAAACGTATAATGATGGTTTTAATGATGGTTTTCGGAAACGAATCCCAAAACAACCCAGCAGCCAAACCAACTGGAGCATCTAATCAACCTCACAACAACCTGCTAAAACACTCCAGTACCCAATTAACAACCAGAAGGGCCCATAATGGTACCTCAAAAGTACTTTCTGGGTACGTTTGGGCACTAATATGCACCTTTGAAATGTCACTGTGGACTCTATGGGTACAAATATGTATCTTTTAAAAAGGTACCGCCCCAGTAACAGCTCCTGTACCTTTACTTCTGACACTGTAGTAAACACAAAACAACCAAGTAGAACATCCTGGTAACCAGATAACACCCAGCCAGGACACCCTAGAAACCATATAACAACCAAACATGACACCCTTGCAACCACTCAACAACTGGTGAGAGGTAACAAAGACAACAACCAACCAGGACACCCTAGTAACCACTCATCAACCAGGCGAAACACCATAGAAACCATATAACAATTAAACGGCACACACTAGTAAGAAATCATCAGCCAACTAGAATACCAAAGAGACCAGAAAACAACCAGAGGCCCTAGTAACCACTCACCAACTAGACAGAACACCAGCAACACATAATAACCATCCGAAGCCAGAACACCAAAGAAACCAGAACGGGCACTAGTAACCACTCAGCAACCAGTCAGAACACCAGAAACGACATTGCAGCCATCTAAAATAACCTAGCAACTATGTGGAACACCGTAGCAATCACATAACAACCAGCTAAAACACCCAAGTAAACAGACAAAACAACCAGTCCAAACACTATAGAAACCATATAACAACCAAACAAGACATCCTTGCAACCATTCAACAACCAGCGAGAGGCAGCAAAGACAACAACCAACCAGGAAAGCCTAGTAAACCCACTTATCAGCCAGCCGGAACACCACCGAAACAAGATAATAAACAAACAGAACACAATGGCAACCATTAATCAACCAGCCAGAACACCATAACAATGAAAACAAATAACCAGGACACCCTAGTAACCACTAACCAACAGGCCAGGACACCCCAGCAACAACACAGGATCCACATAGGGCGCCCTAGAAAAACTTTATGGGGGCAACTTGACATCCTAGTAAACATATAACAACCAAGTAGAACACCCTGGTAACCAGATAACAGCCAGCCAGTACACCAAAGAAACCATATAACAACCAAACAAGACACCCTTGCAACCACTCAACAACCAGCGAGAGGTAGCAAAGACAACAACCAACCAGGACACCCTAGTAACCACTTATCAACCAGCCGGAACACCATAGAAACAAGATAACAAACAAACAGAACACACTAGTAACCAATCACCAACAAATCTGAACATCAAGGAAACCAGATAATAACCAAAAGGGCGCTAGTAACCACTCACCAACTAGCCAGAACACCAGCAACCACATAACAATCCAGAGCCAGAACACCAAAGAAACCAGATAACAACCAAGCGGGCACTAGTAACCACTCAGCAACCAGTCAGAACACTAGCAACTACATTGCAGCCATTTAAAACAACCTAGCAACAATTTAGCAACTACCCAAAACCCCCTAGCAACCACATAACCATCATAGCAACCAGATGACAACAAAACATGACAACCGAGCAAACAACAACATAAACAACAACATAACAAAGATAACAAATGACACCCTAGCAACCAATTACTAACGAGCCAGAACACCCTAGCAACCTCACAGTAACCCCGTAGGGCGCCATAGAAATGCTTTCTGAGAACAACTCGACGTCATGATTGTTTATGGCGTCTTATATGCATCTTCTTTTCTCATGTTTACTCTTCTTTCTGAACACAATTATCTCATTGGCTCGCAGTTCTACAAATGACCGGCTGTTCTACACTCAGCGGTAGGAGTTTGCCTGAAGTCCTCCGCAACAGTGACCCGATTTAGTAGCCAATGAAAATAAACACAACGGACATCTGACCTCTAATTTACAGAGCCTCAGCAAAACCCTCACACAGTTCTCAGGGAAAGAGTGCAGAAAGCGGACACTGACCCGCGTGTGCGGCAGAAAGGTTTGTGGAGAGTTTGAGCGTGTTTTAGCCGCTCTGTGTTTATTAGCTCTGTTAGCAAACACCTGTTGCACTTAACGAACTCACCGTTTATGATGCCGTTACGCAGGTTACGAGCGCATCACCGTAAGTATCAGTCCGGTTACAGTGGCAGACGCTTAAAAACACGATACTCATCATTTGGCAACCCTTATATAAACAAAAAGACAGCGCTAATAGCGAATGCTGGATGTGGATTGACTGACTGGACTGTCCGAACTGCGCCGCGCAGCATTGTGGGACATCAGGCACATTCCACAGGCGACTCCACAGTTAAAGAGACAGGCGCGAGTTTCACTGGATAGAGGATCAGCGAAGGAGAGAGAACTGCTCTCATGGTGTATTTGTGTGTTTGGATGAAATATTTAACGGATTTTGTATATTTTGATTAAATATATTAATATATATTTGTTTCTATAATTTTTTAAATATAATTTCTAAATTTTTTTGCCTTTAGTCCCTTTATTAATCTGAGGTCACCACAGCGGAATGAACCGCCAACTTATCCAGCATATGTTTTACGCAGCGGATGCCCTTCCAGCCTCAACCCATCTCTGGGAAATATTTTTAATTAATGAATTTATAAATTATTTAAATTTAATTATTTTAAAACTCCAAACAGGCGAGGCAGTGGCGCAGTAGGTAGTGCTGTAGCCTCACAGCAAGAAGGTCGCTGGTTCAAACCTTGGCTCAATTGGCGTTTCTGTGTGGAGTTTGCATGTTCTCCCTGCCTTCGCGTGGGTTTCCTCCGGGTGCTCCGGTTTCCCCCCACAGTCCAAAGACATGCGGTACAGGTGAATTGGGTAGGCTAAATTGTCCGTAGTGTATAGTGTGTGTGTGAATGTGTGTGTGGATGTTTCCCAGAGATGGGTTGCCGCTGGAAGGGCATCCGCTGCGTAAAAACTTGCTGGATAAGTTGGATAAGCCGACAAGAAAATGAATGAATGAATAAAACTCCAAACAGTCTATGAAAATAAAAAAATTAATGTTAAATACATGCATATATATTATATATAATAGATTAAGCAATGTTTGTTAATTCATAATTAAAAATGTTAATATTGTTTTAATAAATCAATATTAAATTAATAATAAATTAATACAACTTATTAACTAATTAATATTAAAAAAATACACACAGATACAATTATCAAATTATACTATAACATTTTTATTTATATTTTTTTATTATCTATTTACAATAAAAATGAGAGCCAACTGTTTGCTGTTTTAAATTTGGGATTATTAATAAAAAATAAAACGAAAACTGTCCATCTATTTCTAATTCCATTTATCCACCTAATGCAGATCACATTTAAATAAATGTAGTTTAAATAAATAAAAATCAATAAATAAATAAAGTATTGTATTGTTTTTGGCATTTATTTTGCAAATAAAAAACATGCATATATTTGATATAACAATAATAATAATAATAATAATAATAATAATAATAATAATATTATTATTAATGTTACTATTATTATTATTATTGTTTATTATTATTATTTTTATTATTAAAAAATAACATTCTTGTTTTTATTATTATTGTTGTTACTATTATTATTATTATTGTTTTTATTATTATTATTAAAAATAATATTATTGTTTTTATTGTTGTTGTTGTTATTATTAATATTAATATTATTATCAAATCTTGTTGCTTTTCATCTCACACACTTCCAAATTAAGCTTTCCGTAATTTTACCTCGCTGATTCCTCTAACTAAAAAAATATGTAAGCATATAACTGTCGAGTGCAGTATTTCTCACAGTAGGTCACGTCATGTATCCTGTAATAAACCTGTACTGCCGAATGTCTGTTTCACACCAATTCAAACACTGTCACAGAGATTTCCTCCTCTGAAACCTCAAGTCTGAGCAAATACATCAGCATGACTTGTTTAATAAGCAGTGTCACGCAAAAAGACATACTGTACATTAGATTCCTCCAGTGCCACCAAACAGCCTTAAATTTACAGTTGGTACAGGACGATTGTCTTTCTGTTACTATGAATAAACACACGAGTCACTTTAAAAACATCCACACCGCACTGAAGGAGAAAAATATAGAATAGATGACTTCATGTAGACAAAAATGTATCACGTCCATTTAAAAACATTGCTATTTGATATAGCATGGTCAAATAATAAACCGTAATACAGGAATGGGTGGTGTAGTTAAAATATTAGACCGTGACAAACTAATGACCTATAGCAACACTTCTGTTTCTCCTTTTTTTTTGCAAGTAAACGTCAAAGGCTTCTTATAATAGGGAAACAAACAATCAAGAAATGAACTCATGGTTTCAAAATGAACAGCATCTTTTATTTACTAAAATAACTTCACTCAAAGTCACTTCAGACGTTAAACACCTGTGTACTTTCCAATTAAAGTCCTGAGGATTTTACTAGTGACTGTTAAAGGGACAGATTACCAATTAATAACAGATTTGTTCATGTTAAAGTCTGCCTGAAAACGAAATTGACAATGTTTATTGTGCTAATGCTCAGGGGCGCAACTACACATGTACTGAGGGGTATGCTATCCCCCCAACACCACCACCCCAACTATTTTTTTTATAATAGGCAAATGATAAAATTTTCCATGAATATATTAAAGATATTTTTCTCCTCATCAACATGATTCAAACAAATACATTTGCAGTTCTGAACACAACTGAAATGGCATGAAGTAGTACATTAAGCATGCTAAGAAACAAATAATTTCTTCTCAGTTTTTTTTTCCTCACTAAATGATTATAGCACCTTGACGTGCCTTGCTTCTGTACCTTTTGCGCATTTGCGAAAACAAAATGATAGATATGGGAGTCCTAAAGGGCAAAAGAACAAAAAATGCAGTCACTTCTCATTTGAAAGATGTAAGGTCTGCCTTTGCATTAACAATTGACTGAAACTGCTATTGCACCTCTCACAAAGTTAAACTGCCTGAAATGTTCTATTTTATCAAAATGTTATGGGCAAACTTTTTTGTAATTAAAATTAAAATAGTTTTGAGCACAAAAATTTACCAAAAGGCCTGCTGTATCAATATGAGACATAATAAATTTATAAAAAACATCTACATAGTATAAAAATAAATCTTGATAGACAGATTAATAAACCATTCAGTTCCAACAAAAGTGAATATTCATTTGTTAATGTGTCAGATTTAACAGGGTTAAGAATCATTATAGTCAAATAAAGTTCATATAGGGGAATGTCTTAATCCAAATATTATTTTCTATTTTATCTGAAATATATGAAATATAACATACATTTTGTGTGATCCCTCCTATTTTGGCAAAATAATAATTAATTAATATTTAATAAAGAAAAAAATATTGATCAATTATAACTTTTGACCCCAGACAGTTTATTTTGATAAAAATTTTAAGTTACATCTACATGTACACTTTGCACTTGGCTGTGTGACTGCATGTTATTGTGTTAAATGATATTGAATTAAAACGTGTGCCAACGTATGCAACTCATGGTGTGATTTTTTATTGAATAAAATACTATGTTAAACTCAAAATAAACTATTCAACTAAACAAAAAAAAATATTAACAAAACATATTTATTTATTTTTATTATTTGAAGCTTTTAATAAGGATAATTCTAATAAAAATATTTTTGTCACAATGGCGCCCCCTCCACGTGTGGCTCCCCTATGCGGCGCACATACTGCATACCCCCTTTTTGCGCCCTACTAGCGCTAGGGGTGTGACGAGACGCTTACTCCACGAGATAAAGATGAAATATGTAATATTATATATATATTGTATTCAACTGAAAAAAAAAATCATAAAATGCTAAACTAATTCACCCTCACGCTCCATCATAACATCACAACGCACAATACAACTTTTCACCTCCCTGTCTCACAAGATCTCGTCACAGCCCTAGCTAGCGCACACTGTTAGTCTTAAAACAAACAATTGTAATCCCAATGAAATAAACTTTCTGTTTTAGTAATATTTATTCAAAGTTTGAACGTTTGCTTCTGCTCTGGACTGACTGTCCATCTCTCATGATGTCAGTCGGACGGATTGGGTGGGAAAAGCTTACCCATGTCCACTCCAACTATTAGTTTGCTGCGAGTGAAAGATAAGAGGAGGAGCGCAAAAATAAAAAACCGCCCCCTACTCAATATTATATTTCAGTTGGAAATCGGTCATCATACTGAAATAAAACCACTATAACCACAAATAATATATATTTTAAATAAATAGATAAATAAGTGTACTGGCAGCTTTTTGTACTAGACTTTACATGATCAATCCAGATGATTTATTGTTTTAAAACACGAAAATGTCAGGAAATGTACAACTTTTGACCATTTCTAAAGAACTTTTTTTTGTAATTTTTTTTCTTTTACAAATTATTTTCATAACCCATTTTTGAACTTTTTACATCAACAGGTCTAATGCAAAAGCATCTAATGCATCTAATGCAAAAGCATAAATAAACAGAAACCCCTAATGTGAATCATAAGCTACAGGCAACTGTTAATAAAATTTAGGAGATTGTTTCTGCCACAGATTATTACAATATTTAGATATTACTTTCTTATAAGTGCAACCTAACATCCTACAATTCTAATATTGTGTAGCTTGCAAGTTACACAGTAAAAACTGCTACAAATGATGTCAGAATTTTCAGAAAGCAAACTCGCATTTTAGAAATAAACTCATAGTTCTGAGGGGAAAAAACATTAGAATTGCTGGTTAGAATCTCAAGAATTGGAGAAAAAATATAGATTTTTATGAATTGAACAATGTTTCAGAACAGCAAGTAATAAAATAAAGACTACTCTAAAAAATGCTTGGTTATTTTAACCTAATTCTGGCTGTAATACGGACTACACTAACTGCTGGTTTAATTTTTAAATAATTAAATTAATAGGACCAAATTTAACCCAATGTTTGGGTTAGTCCATATTTTACCCAATTTGGGTTGAAATAACCCAGCATTTAACAGAGTACCTGAGTGTACCTGAGCAACTATTAATCTAAAGTAATCTGAAGTTTGGAAATCTGAACTCTTTCGAACAGTCATAAGTCATCATAATTCTATTTGTTTTTCTTCACAATTCCAAATTTAAACCTCACAATTCATATTATTTTCATTTGAACCACGGGAAAAAAAATAAAAAATCAGTATTGTGAGCTAAAAAGTCGCAATTAAATGTATTTATTTATTCATTTATTTGAATTCTTTGGCAGAAATAGTACTAGAAACTTGTACTAATCTCCACCCATGTCAATTAAAAAAATTATCCGAATATTAATTAAAAAAATTAAATAACCTTTTTAGTTCTACATGCAAAAAAAATGTAATGACATCGCAGCGCATCCTCTTTTAAACATCCACAGTCACCATGCAACCTGATAAGATCAAACTAGTTCATGTGTCCGCGGACCCACAGCACAAAGCACGTTGCAAAACAGCCAAAACACAAGCGCGTCACATGACAGAACGAGTCACTTGGTCAAGCAGATGACACTTTATCAGAGCTTGAAATCAAACAAAAGGCCGTGAGAGATGCATATGGCCCTTAACATCGAGAAAGCCTGGTGTTTACAGTGGCATGCACTGTGGTGGCAGAAAAACGGCGTGTGTAGTATTGGTGGCAGGGCAGATGCACGTGTGCACAGGTGTTTATGTGTTTGTGTGTGTGTGAGACTCACTCAAACACTGCAAGCCATGCTTCCTCTGCAGGGTTTTGCTGCACAGTGTACATGTGGCGCAGCTGGAGAAAGATCCGGGCACGAGCTGGTGGCCGCTGACGCTGCGCCGGCGCACTTTCACACGCTCGCTCAACTCTTTCTCTCTATCCTTTTCTCTCTCTCTGCCCTTTTCTTTGTGCTGCTCCTTCTCACGATTCTTACCCTGGAAACAGATAAAGATAGGTGTAGCATTAGCAATTAGCTACAACAACAGACTCACAGATTTAGAAAAATGTAAACAAACCCAAATCAAGCTATAATTTGTACTACAATATTGTACTACAATATAACTAGATAACAATATTCATCAAGACCAACGTAGATGTTTCACATGTAAAAAGTACTATAGTCATTTATAGTAAATATTACAGTGCTTTTGAACCATACTACAGCAATGTATTATATACTGTAGTGCAGGGATCACCAAACTTGTTCCTGGAGGGCTGGTGTCCTGCAGATTTTAGCTCCAACGCTAATCAAACACACCTGAACAAGCTAAGCAAGGTCTTACTAGATATACTTGAAACATCCAGGCAGGTGTGTTGAAGCAAGTTGGAGCTAAATCCTGCAGGAACACCGGCACTCCAGGACCGAGATTGTTGACCCCTGCTGTAGTATTTACAACACTTTGGTAATGAATGCTGCAGCATACTGTAGTAATAACTATAATCAACTGATCAACTGTTTTAATTACTGTAGTATTCTTTATATGTAGTATATACCCTATAATATACCCCAAAATACTCTATAATATAGCCTAAACTACAGTAATTTGTTTATATTACTTTAGTTGTTGTATTAGCAACTATAGAATTAGCAGAATAGATTAACTGTGCTTTACTATTCATCAAAACACAATATAGTACTATTTACTTTAAATTTAGTTTCTAGCATGTTCTTACAGATTGCTAAAATGCTGTAAGTTGATCCTAACATGATTTAGCAATGTTTTAACAACTTCCTGATATTTTTGTTAGTGTTTTTACACTTTGCTAACATCCTTCATTATTTTGCTTGCATGTTATGGCATGTTTCTAACATGTTGCAGCACGTTAGCATGTTCTAACATAATGCTAGCATGTTTTAACATGTTCTAAACAAGATTTAGTGTGTTACTTTAACTTCCTGGCATTTGTTCTTTATGTTGCAAAGATGTTTTTACACTTTGATAACATTTCATCATTTTGCTAGCATGTTATTGCATGTTTCTAACATGTTGTGGCATTGTAGTATGTTCTAACATAATGCTAGCAAGTTTTAACTTGTTTTGAACAAGATTTAGCATGCTGCTACTATGTTTTAACAATCTGCTAGCTTGCTTTTACTGCTGTTGCAAATTTATAGCAAGTTGTAACACATCACTACTATGTTTTAGCATGTTGCTAGTTTGTTCTAACAATTTGCTGGCATAATAATGTGACTTCGACAGTTCTTCTTGAGACTTGAGTAATAAAATATATTTTATTGATAATAAATTTTAAGCTATATGACCAAAATAAACAAAAAAATCCTGTATAAAATGATCAATTGCCAACTAATAAAGAAATGCCTCTTTGTTTGTTAAAAGAACAAGTCAAAACTTCCCCATAGCCTGAATGAGCAAGTTTATAGTCTCTCTGTTTTCAACAATAGAGGAAGTTGCAGTGACACTAAAGTTACAGCATAGTTCTGCAGAAATGGACATGAATATACTCCCAAGGCTGAGAGACAGTGAGAATCAGTGTGTTTGATTACTTTGTCTTTGTTGAAGGATCCGGTCATGCGGTTCCTCAGTGAACTCAGAGTCCGCTTGACTTTGGTGCCTCTTTCTGGACGCTCTGGCCGATCCTCCTCTTCCTCGTCATTTCTATAAACAAAGATACACCAATCCATTTTAACATTAAAATGTTTTTTAGAAGCAAAAATGTGCAATCCAAATACAAGAAAGAACGTCAAAGACTTACTCATGGGCCAGAAACTCATACCATGTGAAGTTCCCAGTCACCTCTTTTCTGTCAGTGCTTGAATTTCTGCGTTTCGCCCTGAAGAAAATACAGTATTATCAAGATCAGGATTAATCATTAAATATCTCCACTGAAAACATTTATTACCTGGGTATGTTCAAATTGGAATATTAACATACTATTTTGTAGTGTGCAGCATGTGAATATATGAAACCTTGTTTATGCCATAGAATTAAAAAACATTTGTTTAAAAAGATTATTTATTTTTATTTTTCTCATATCTGTAAGTTTTATTGACACAATTATGATTTTTTCCCCCCATCAAAGTTGTACTTTTATGCAATACATTCAAATCAATTCTCAGTCAACATCCTAAAATATCTCAAAAAGTTGACCTTACCAGAATTGTGTGTTTTCATTTTATAATTTTGACACTTCCTGGGAGTTTCTGAGCTTATGACTTATTTAATTTGATCATCATTTTGTTTTTCAAATTAAACTATTTTACATCAAATATAAACATTTACTACAATTAAACATGCAGGATAATGGGATGATGTGACTACGCACATACTATTGTATATTATCATGTAACTTCCGAAGAAGTTATGTTTTTTTTTACACCAAGTATGCATTAAGCAGTCTGTTAGTATTCCATTTTGAACATAGCCTGCTGTTAGAAGCGTCAGCTACTGTGCAAAGGTTTCATGACCTTGTTTAAGCACGCTCTGGTTTATCATGCAGCTTTTAGAGATAAACAAGGGCATCCTAACCAGAAAGAAAAACCTCATCAGGCTTATAAAAATACAGCAAGACTGTTAAACGCTGAAATAAAATACATCACAAAACGCACAAACATGTTTAAGACAGCCAAGTGACAAACAATGCTTTCTATTTCTGGCCGGCAAACCAAACGTGGGCCAGTGGCGCTCGTGTTAGCGCTGTTAGTTTGTAGGAGGGCATGACAGGCTCCTTCACACTGTTTACTTACCCATGATACTGCTTAAGCTCCTGTAGAACTTTCTGTACCATCAGCCTGAGACAAACAAGACACTGAGGCTAAGTATGTGTGGCAGTAGGAGGGCACATGGTGGGCCGCTGTCCAAATAAAACCATCAGCGCAAAATCTACTGCCAACGGTGGCTCAATGGTGGGCTAGAATCAAATCACCCACGACTTTTCCTCAGCTTAAACCACAAAAAACACGCAGAAATGCAACAACAACCACAAAAACTGTTGCTCAGGGATTGGTAAATTAGGTTGGCTAGTTATGCTAGTGCTAATGTTATGCTAGTGTGCTCCTAAAAGTTCAAATACAAATTATGTGTATTTTAAAGAAAACAGATGACAGTGACATAATCTTGCACTACACTCTTGTCCAATCAAAAACTCTCTAAAATGAGAATGCCCCTCCCCCAATAGAAGGTGCAGCTGACTACTAGATAGCAAGTGGTTTATGGCTGTAAATTAGCTAAAAAATATTGGCAGTCCTATGACAGGAAATAGATAAGCATAGGACTGAAGTATTATTTTTTTCTCAAACAATTGTTGCAGCATGTTCTAACACAGTTGAGAACCACAGTGTTAAACAGGCTAACATGCTAGCAACATAATGAAACATGTTAGCAAAATATAGAAACATGATAACAACACGGGAAGCTAGCTAGCGTTTTTGTCATACTATAACATACTTGCAACCTGCTGAATCATTTAAGAACATGCTGCAACATGTTTTAAACATGGAAAGAACATGCTAACACATTAGTAGCATGATAACAAAATGATTAAGGTTTCAAGATTCTACTGTTTTACATTCAAAAAAGTAACATTCAATCTTGTTAAAATACTAGCAACCTTTTTAAACATAAAAATACCATAGTAATGTATAGTAAATACTACATTTTACTACTACAAAGTAATTTACAATTCTATTTAGCACACTATTTACAAATGAGAAAGGCCTCAAGGGATTCATCATAAACAGGCGATGCTAATACAAAGTTGCTAATACGTTTAGCATTCATACAGTGATAAGGAAGTGTCTAATTTGTGTTTGATCCCAGCATCAGATTATTAAGACAGAACAGACTTGCTGCCCCAGCTATTCCAGGAAGCCATCACTGAAGATTCTTGATTTGTCTTGACCGATTCCAAGGTCAGTAATCCTTCAGTATTACATAACTTCACGAACTCAAAACAATCTTGTGATAGCTACTACAGTACTCGTTAGCAAAACATGAATGTGGAGACTTACACGTGACTCCGTCCCTCTCCAGACTGCAGCCCCTCTTCAGACTCATGCTTTTCTGGAATCCCAAAGCAAGAAGAAGATTGGATGATACATTCAAAATTTAAACACAGAGGTATTTAAATAGTACTTTGAGGGTTAAGTTTCATAACAACATATATGATTATTAGATCACACTTTATTTAAAGGTGTAATTCTAGCTATTAACAAAACAGTAACTAAGGCCATGTACATGGATATTTTTATTAACAGTTTTCCCTGCTTTAAAAAAAAAACTTTGTCCAGATGAAAACGCCTGAACACACAGCAATTCATGTTAAGGGCATGCCGAACCAACAGGTGGCGATAATGACACTTTTATGCTGGGTTCTTTCCAAAAAGGGAATTAAGTATTTTCATGAGTAAACCACATACAAGTCAATGCAAACATGACAACTGTTACAATCGCTGGAGAACCACAATTCTGCCACCAAGTGAACTAGAAATTCCATCAAACCTTTATGCCTATACCTGTTCCGGCTCACCTTTGATAAAAAAAACACACAGCTGAAGCTGTTCAGGACTAATCAAATGGGCTATAAAGACAGCACGCGCACACACACACACATTGTTGCTGAGATTTGTTCTACCTGTAGCATTATGAATAGTTTCTCCTTGCCGTGTTTTGATTCTTTGCTTTGTTTGTTGATTTTTGATTTTAGCCGCCTGTACAGATCTCTTTCCTGGTTTTGACTACTCTTTTAAATTGCCCTTTTTGATTCTGTTTGCTCCTGTGATCGACCCTTGCCTCCTTGAAAATTCTTTGTCTAAATAAAGACAGAAAAGTTTCAGTTTCAGTCACCCGATACTCCGTTTTCATGTGGACAAACAGCAAAAACGTTTAGAAAAAAGTCCATGTGTTTGTGTGGACGGGCCCTACACCTTTTAGCTCAATAAACTACTAACTTGCTGCTTGCTAATAGTTAGTAAGGTAGTAGTTGGGTTTAGGTATTGCTGGCAGCTAGCTCTTTGCAACTTTCACATTGTCGCCCACTGAAGCTAAGCAGGGCTGCACCTGGTCATATGGGAGACCTCATGGGAAAAACTAGGTTGCTGTTGGAAGTGGTGTTATTGAGGCCAACAGTGGGTGCTCAGCCTGTGGTCTGTGTGAGTCCTAATGCCCCAGTATAGTGAAGGGGACTCTATACTGCTCAGTGAGCGCCGTCTTTCGAATGAGACATTAATCCGACTCTCTGTGGTCATTATAAAAATTCTAGGATGTCCTTCGAAAAAGAATAGGGGTTTAATTTCTGAATTTGCCCACTGGCCTCTGTCCATCATAGCCTCCTAACAATCACCATATTATAATTGGCTTCATCACTCCTCTCCACCAATCAGCTGTTGTGTGGTGTGCGGTCATCTAGGTGGATGTTGCACACTGGTGGTGGATGAGGACATTCCCCCCAATGTGTAAAGCGTTTTGAATGTCTAGAAAACCGCTACATAAATGTAAGGAATTATTAATTATGGTTATTATTGGTTAGGATTATACTTTGTAAGTACTAATAAACTACTACAACTACTACTACTACTAAGTACTAATAAACAGACAATATCAAGTTACACAATATATCAACACATATATTAACACAATAGCAGCTAATAACCCAGTAGCAAACAGTTTGTATTGGTACTGTACTGAAACTAGTGTTACCAATTTTTTGAGTTTCTCTTACTGGTTTCATTTCTGTTTCCCCGAAGGAGAAACATATTGCGGCTTTTGATCCTAGAATTCCTTCTCAAAAAATAACATTTGATTTATTTGTCAGCTTTAGCCCATGAGAACGCAACTCTTCCTGACCACAGTTTTCCCCCTAATTGGAGAATCTTTTTCACTCACCTCCGGCCTCTCTGGCAGCCTGCTTGGAAGTCTCCAGTATGCGGGATACTCTTTCAGCTTGCGATTTTTCATCAGTCGCCAGAATCTCAGATCTGGAATAAATGGTCTTTGTTGGTGTGGACGGCTGCTGTCGCTAAAAACAAAACATGTCAAAATGTTAAAGGAGTAGAAATAAAGTAATTTATTAGCCTATAATTTACTCACCCTCAAGTCATCCTTGTATTTTGACTTATGATTTTATTCTGACTCTTCCAAGCTGTATAATGATGTAGGATAGTGACTCTTATTTTGACGCTTCCAAAAACGCATAAATTCATCAGCAAACTAACCCATACACTAGTAAGTTTAACGTATGTCTTATAAAGCTGAATGATGTGTTTACATAAAATGGGTAGAGGTGGCATTGTGCGAATAACATATTGTATAATGGGTAACACTTTACAATAAGGTTCATTAGTTAATGCATTAACTAACATAAACTAATCATGAACAACACTTGTACAGTATTTATTAATCATATTTGAACATTTACTAATGCATTAATAAGATTTAAGTCCATGCTTGTTAACATTAGTTAATGCACTATGAGTTAACATGAACTAACAATGAACAACTGTATTTTTATTAACTAACGTTTATTAAGGTGAATAATTACTGCAGTAAATGTATTGTTCAATGTTTGTTCATGTTAGTAAATGCATTACTTAACATTTACTAATGAACCTTATTGTAAAGTGTGACCGTATAATGTTATACAGTAACACCAAGCCAACTCATTTCCTTGTTTGTCAATGTCCTCTGTGGTAAAAAAAAACTGTGTGGTAAGTGTGCAAGACATGTCTATTTTCTGAGCTTCTGAGGATAGATTGAGGGTAAGTAAATTATGGGGTCATTTCAATTTTTTGGTGAACTATTCCGACTTCCTATTTAACTTTAACAGTATCTACAGGGGTATCCAACTCTGTTCCTGGAGCATTAGCTTCCTTGCAACCCCAGTAAGCTCTGCAGGACAGTAGCCCTCCAGAATGAGTGCCTTGCTCTGCTTATACTAAAATACTGTTTTCATCATACTTGACTAAGGATAGTTACTTGTGTTTTAGGACTTTCACTTTCAACAGCACTGGTTGCTTCTTCCACTGAACTTTCGGAGAAGGAGGATGATGGTAAAAGGGAACTTTTGGCCAGACACTGGACTTCTCTTTCCCCATCGCTGTCAATTCCGGCAGTGTCTAAGCTGAACCTACACACATAACCATGCAATGTTTACATTGGTGTGATCCAAACAGACAACATGCACTCAAACATGAAAGTCTTTACAAACTGACATCTTGCATATGCATTGTACATTTGTAGAAAGGTGTAGGTGCAAGAGCAAACAAACACACAACAATGGTGGAGTATGTGGTAGTGTTGTTGTTGCTTAAGGGTTTGGTAATGCTTCATTAACAAAGTCTGGATTTACTTCACATTACAACCAAAAGGTGCATCTTGGACAACCCGGCAAATTCTATATACACATCAGCACCGATCCACCAGGTGGTACATTATCACTTCCTTACAGATACTGCTGATAAAAAATTGACCGAATTCTGGCATGGTATGCGTAATACATCATTGATTTATAGAATGTCTAAACCGTTTTTTTTTTAAGTGCAAGAGAAAAACTTTTTTGGCTACATCATTGTCGTGTAAATGTAGCCTTAGAAATTTAAAATGTGTCCAACCACTTTAACTCTTTAGGACTACTGAAAAAGTGAGTCATACCTTCTTCCAAGGTCAATCGGAGACACTGGACATTCCCAGCTGTGCCTACGAGATGTGGACATTGATCTAACCAATATAGGAAAGGTATCCATGTCTGAGTCCTCATCTTGGTCCGACGGCGGATAATCCTGAGACTCTGAGGTTTTGACAGCAATCAAGCGATCCATGCTGGAAATCAAAGTGTGGTCTATCTGCAAAAGTTGCTGGGTGTCTGACTCTGTGAAATCCTGGTCGGATTCGCTTTCTGGTGTCGACAGAAGAGGTATCAAAGAAGTAGGACTCTTGTTGGGTGCGTTCAAGGCTGTAGGTTGTGTGTTTGGTGGCTCGGTTGATCCGAGTTGCAGGTCTCTGAAATATTCTGAATCTCTCAGGGAAGGGCAGAGGTCTAAAAGGTCCTCCTCACTGCTGCACTCGTCACTCTCAGCCAAGAAGTTCCTCTGAGAAAAGAAAACCCAAATACAGCTGACTTTCTCACAACATGACTAATAATGTGACGTGAAGTCAGATTCAGGCTAGTGTCATTGAACCGAAAGTGGATACAGCCAGTTGAACTTCTTGTGTGATAAACTTATAAGTGATGACACATTTATCCAATACAGCGTACTTGTTCCAAGGACAAAACCACACTGAGGAAGCAAGGTAAAGAACCTTGATCAAGGTTTCAAGATTCTATTGCTTTACATTCAATCTCACTCTGCTCTTAGTAATTGTTTTGGGGGATTGTGTATCATCCTCATCATCTCAATTTGGGGTTTAATTTATGGAGTCTTACCTTCTCCTCAGGAGAACTGCTGAAGAAGACGTCTTCTGGAATGGAGGCCGGGGACAAGGAAGAGGAAGAGCTGGGCGCTGAGACTGGGATACGAACTTGAGTGCATGGCTTGCAATCTGAAGCTGAAACACAAATCGTTTCACAATGAATTAAGCAAGAGATATTATCCACAACTGCGACTGGCAGTGTTGCCTTTACTGAGGCATCTTATCAAAAGGATCAGACAAAACAAATTAAGTGTGACATTCTGGATATCTAATTACATCATATCTCCGATGTTTATCCGTAAAGATTGTTACAGCAATAGTAGAGATACTGTTCTGCCAGACGTTATCAGTGGCTTTCAATAACTTCAGAATATTACATCAACACACAGATGGAGTCAGTAGAAGTTGGAAACGTTTCGCTGTAAACAGAAGATCTTAATCTGATGCACGATGGAAGCACTAGTTTACAGAGGCAAAACTCGGGGTTGTATTTGATTCAACCTACAGCCTGATGCCTAGGAAAACTTTTAGATAGTTCAACTAAAACTGAAAATGTTCTCATTATTTACTCTCCTTAAGTGGTCCCAAACCTTCCTCTGTTGAACATTTAACTTCTTTTGAGTAAATTATGACAGAAGGTTTTGTTGTTGTGGGTGAACCATCCCTTTAAGGTTGTTCAGAAAGCCATATAAGACCTAATGCATCTAAAGAACCAAGGAATGCTGAACCAATATGGATGCATTGGTCTATTTTGGGAATAGCAAAGAAACTCTCAAGAACATTCCTTAAATGTTAAATTATGACACATACATATTGTGTGACTGCTGAATTCATCTTTCTATACTTCAGTGTACCTGTCCACTTGTAATTATGACGATGATATATGTACCGTGAGAAACCCCAGAAACCAAAGTCCAAGCCACAATATTCCTGCTTCACCGACTGCCTATCCTTAAACGATGGATGAAAAGAGCAATAGAGCATTTACTAGTGTAAATCATCTGGGCTTTAGAGGAACAACAGAGTCTGAGTGCAGTAAGGTTGTTTGTATCTGAATCAGACATGCGATATGTAAACCATAAGAGCACTATGATGCTTGTCATCTTCAAATATCCTTTTATGGCTGCCCCTTTCTCACCATATGCTCCAACATGAACACTTAAACAAAGGGGCCTCTCAGCGTTTACAAGGGTTACTGTAGGTCTACCGCAGAAAACATGTTTTTTTTTACACATTTCAAGGTGTGTGCACATCATCTATCCATCCATCCATCCATCCATCCATCCATCCATCCATCCATCCATCCATCCATCCATCCATTTATCCATCTATCTATCACGAAGCAAAGTATATATGTTTGTCTGTCCGTCCGTTCATCCATCCAACTATCTATATAGTATACCTTTGCATACATCCATCCATCCATCCATCCATCCATCCATCCTTATGCAAATCCATCCGTATGCAAAGTATATCCACCCATCCCTCTATCCATCTACGAGCAAAATATATTCATCCAGCCACTCAGCAATCAATCCATCCATCTATCTATATGGAAAGTATATCCATCCATCCATCCATCCATCCATCCATCCATCCATCCATCCATCCATCCATCCAACCATCCATCCATCCATCCATCCATCCATCCATCCATCCATCCATCCACCTATCTATCTATCTATCTATCTATCTATCTATCTATCTATCTATCTATCTATCTATCTATCTATCTATCTATCTATCTATCTATCTATCTATCTATCTATCTATCTATCTATCTATCTATCTATCTATCTATCTATCTATCTATCTATCTATCTGTCACTAAGCAAAGTATATATGTTTGTCTGACCATTCGTCCATCCATCTATATAGTATATCTTTGCATCCATCTATCCATCGATTCATCCATCCATCCATCCATCCATCCATCCATCCGTCCGTCCGTCCGTCCGTCCGTCCGTCCGTCCATCCATCCATCCATCCATATGCAAATCCATCCATATGCAAAGTATATCCACCCATCCCTCCATCAATCTACAAGCAAAATATATCCATCCAGCCACCCAACCCATCCATCCATCCATACAGAAAGTATATCCATCAATCCATCTATCTATCACTAAGCAAAGTATATATGTTTGTCTGTCCATCCATCCACCCATCTATATAGTATATTTTTGCATCCATCTATCCATCGATTCATCCATCCATCCATATGCAAATCCATCCATATGCAAAGTATATCCATCCATCCATCCATCTACAAGCAAAATATATCCATCCAGGCACCCACCACCCCATTTATCCACCCATCCATCATCCATCCATCCATCCATATGCAAAGTACATCCATCCATCTATCACTACACAAAGTATATATCTCTATCTGTCTATCTGTCCATTCATCCATCTATCCATATAGTATGTCCATCCATCCATCCATCCATCCATCCATCCATCCATCCATTTATCCATCCACATGTAAATTATATTCATCCATTTCACTATTTGTAGTACAGTATTTAATGTAATCTCGTGTTCTCTATAAAGTACAGCACAGACAGCTGAAGATATGACAAGGCAGCAATAAACATTCCTGCACATTGAAACTCTCATCACTTGTTAGAGCGCCAAACTCTCTGTTGGCATCTAAATATACACACACCGTATTATTCCTTGTAGAGTGCAGTGGCGAAGGACAGTAGTGAGTGACACAATCACAGAGAGAGAAAGAAAGAAGTGTGAAGATGTGGTTTAGTGAGTGTCAGGTCATGAACACATTATACATATAACAGTCCGGTGCTGTGGACAGACTGCAGCTGCATGAACATCAATGCGACCACAAGCAAACACTGCCCTGTAACGCCTATTTATAGAGCAAGAAACAACCACCACACCAGATACACACGACTGATTCTCTCCACTTCACAAAGCACAATAAACAACACCCAACGTGCTTTCAATGCTGACAGAGACACAAATACTGTTCTTTTTTATGTGAGCTTGAAATCTACAGCTTTATTCTTTGTGGTTTCACGACCACAGCGTTTATGTATTGAAATTTAAACAAAAAGTTTAAAGGCACTCATATTATTTGATTATAATCTTAATAAAACTGCTTGTGACATTTTGGAAACCTTTTCTTCCCATGATCGGTACTTTTTAAGGGTTATGGTTTAAGGAAAAATCTTTATGAAATATTATATGTTTTTGTCATATATTGTGCACTGTAAAAAAAAATTATAAATTAGCAGATTTCCACACTACAGTTTCTCACAACGCAAACAAATTAAGAAAACGCGCTGCATTTTCTTACAATGCAAACAATTTACGAAAATGAGCTGCATTTTCTTACAACACAAATAAATTTACGAAAACATGCTGCATTTTCTCACACAACAGAAATGTTCTAAGGGTAACTAAGGGATGCTGCTGTGCTGTAACTATTGCTCAGTGAAATTGTAGGTGATCTTTGAAAGATGTTTTTTATTTTTTTTTATTGTAACATCCTGATTCCCTTGACTTTTGTATTTTATAAGCCTAAATAACCTTAACCTAAATAGCCAGGTGCGTCATGTTTTAGAGTCTCCTTGAAATATTTCTGTTGTGTTGTGAAAAAAATGTTTCGCAAGAAATGCGTTTTCGTAAAATGTTTGCGTTGTGAAAAAAAGCAGCACGTTTTATTAATTTGTTTTCTTTGTGAGAAAACGCAGCACGTTTTATTTATTTGTTTACATTGTGAGAAAATGCGGCACGATTTAACAATGTGTTTGCGTTGTGAAAAAATGCAGCGCATTTTACTAATTTGTTTACGTTGTGAGAAAATGCAGCATGTTTTATCAAAGTTTTGTGTTGTGAGTAAATGCAGCGCGTTTTTTACAAATGAGTTTGTGTTGTAAGGAAATGCAGCACATTTTATGCAGCATGTTTTATTAATATGTTTACGTTGTGAGAAAATGCAGCGCATTTTTACAAATCTGTTTGTGTTGTAAGGATTTGCAGCAGGTGTGCTGTTGAACGGATGAAGATCTTTTCTCAATATTTTTGTAATTGCATATGTTTTCTTAAATTGCAGCATGTTAAGCTCTCTCAGCCACCATAGTTTAGCCCTCCTTGGCTGAAATACTTTTATTTTAATTATTATATTTATATTATTAGATTTTTTAAAAATTTCTAAAGAACAAACCACACTGTAAAAAAAGTTGACTCCAGGCAACAAACTTCAGGACATTTTCGAGTTTACTCAACTTAAACTGAGTCAAGTGCAGTAATTGGGTAGGGTCATCTCAAAAACGTCCTAAAGATTGTTGCCTTAAAATTTTAAGTTGTCAACTTTTTTTTATATAGTGCCATGTTGTCCAATCACTTGCTTTTAAATGCCACTTTAAGACAAAAATCTTGCAAAATAACTATTTGCCAATATGGCAAATACAAAAAAAAATAAAAATAAATAAATAAAAATCTGTTATTTTAAATATTATGCCTCAAAATTTGTTAAAACAATCTAATCTCCAAAATATTAGAAAATTACATAAAATAGAAGGACTGATAATTTAGTTTTAACCAAATACGCAATTATTCTATTTATGTAAAACTAATATCTAAAAAATACAAATTAAAAAACTTTCAATCATTTAAGTAATCTCTTATTAAAAATTATTTTTAGAGTTAAAAAATGATTTAAACGTCTTATTATATTAAGCTATATTCTATTAAATGCTGTATATAACTAAATTACATATTAATTTACTGTTACTATTAATTTCATGTATATTCAACATAAAGTGTACAGCACATGGTAAAGAGAAGAAGAAAAAGTATGACCATGATTTTTGGGATTACAAGTAAAGTGTAAAGCACAATAAAATAGCAGAAAGATACCAAAATCCTGAAAGACGCATCTGTCTTCTCTACCTCTTTTGAAGGACCATCGCTTCATCCAGGAGAAAGAGGGCCAGGAGTTGTGGAGAGGTGGATCTGCCATGAGGACGAGCTCTGAGTCTCTCCGGTGCTCAATGAGATTTTAGGAGAACCACCAGAGTCCCAGAGTCAGATAAGAGGAGGAACCACGGCGGATTAAACCAACATATGATTCAAAGTCAAGAGGCGCAGCAGAGGGGCAAGCAAGAGAGAGAGGAGAGAGAGAGGCACCACTGGAAGTAATGTGGAGGAATTGTATCATCAGAGGCCTCAGGTATTAGTTTTTCTTTAGCCTGTATGTCATCTTTTTACATTTTTTTTTTTGGCATTTTGCCTTTATTTGACAGTAGAAAGACAGGAAGTGAAATGGTTAAAAGAGAGGGGGATTGGTTCAAGAGATGATATTCGAACTCAGGACACCCGTAGTTCTGTTGCTCTATATGTATCAGTGCACTAACCACTGGGCTATCCTGCCAACTGTATGACGTCTTTTTACTTTAAAAATGCCAGTAGCTACTAGTTTCCATTCAAGAATGGAAATTAGACTTACAAAGCAGCTTTTGTCTATAAATATTCCAGGAAATGTGCCCTCATCTCCGACATTTGAATGCTGTT